CAGGGTCAGATGTTAGTGACTGATTATGAGGCGAGGTTTTCTGAATTATCTCGCCATGCACTAATGATACTCCTACTGAGGCGGAGAGAGTACGAAGGTTTGTAGCCGGTTTACATACTGGTATTCAGGCCACTATGGCTCGAGAGGTTGAGATGGGTACTTCTTATGAGCGAGTTTTGGAGATAGACCGGAGGATTGAGGGTCTACGTCAGCGGAGCCGAGAGCAGATTATGAGAGATAAGCGATTCAGGTACTCTGGAGAGTTCGGAGGTGCTCCATCCGGGGGAATAGGTCAGTTCGTGAGGGGACAGTCCAACAGACCCCCATATCCAGCACCACCACCTCCTCGAGGTGCTCCAGTGCGACCTTATCTCAGTGCTATCCTAGAGAGTTCTTACCGCCCACCAGCTATTCAGGGTCCTCCCAGTGAGTATTCAGGTCCCCAGGGCCAGACACTTAGTCAGCAGCCCATCGCACCGAAGAGTTATTACGAGTGCGGGAATCCCAGTCACATGCGGAGGTTTTGCCCCAGGATTCGAGGTAGACCAGTACAGCAGGGTCAGCAGCCTATGCTTACCGGACCAGTTGCTTCACCAGTAGTCCGACCACCCAGAGGTGGAAGACAGGTGGGTAGGGGCCGTCCTAAAGGTGGAGGTCAGCCAGGCGGAGGCCAGAAGATTGAGGCAGTTCAGAATTGGCATCGTCCCACTTCGGTGACTGAGATCAGGAGTTTTCTGGGTTTGGCAGGTTATTATCGTCGGTTCGTGGAAGGTTTTTCTTCTATTGCAGCACCTTTGACCAAATTAACCCCGAAGGGTACCCCATTCCGATGGTCCGATGATTGTGAGGTGAGCTTTCAGAAGCTCAAGACATCATTGACTAAAGCACCAGTGTTAGTGTTGTCTTTCGGANAAGGCCATTAGCCTCAGATATTCAGTCCTTGGCTAACAGACTTGTGAGGCTGGACATTTCAGAGTCCAGCCGAGTTCTTGCATGTGTTGTGGCCCAATCTTCACTATTGGAGCAGATCAAGGCTGGCCAGTATGATGACCCACACCTGGTGGTTCTTCGTGAAACGGTACTACGAGGTGATACCAAGGAAGTTACTATTAGAGAGGATGGTGTTGTGCAACTCCAGGATCGTCTATGTGTTCCTAATGTGGATGGGCTGAGGAAAAAGATCCTGGAAGAGGCACACAGTTCTCGATATTCTATTCATCCAGGTGCTACTAAGATGTATCGTGACTTGAGGCAACATTATTGGTGGTGACGAATGAAAAAGGATATAGTTGAGTATGTAGCTCGGTGTCTAAATTGCCAGCAAGTTAAATATGAGCACCAGAGGGTGCCTTTGTTACGCAACAAATCTTTCTCATAATAGAGAAAAACTAGAACCCAGGGCTGTAAGGTGTATTTTTCTAGGATATCCTCTTAACCAAAAGGGGTATAAGTTGTTAGATTTGAACACTAAAAGACTTTTTGTGTCCAAAAATATTAAGTTCTATGAACAACATTTTCCTTTGCATTTACCTTCTCGTGTTTATCCTATTTTTCCTCCACAAAGTCAACCTACTGAACATTATTTTTCCACCTCTCCTATTCTTCCTTACACTCAAAACACTGCTAGTTCTTCTATTCTTTCAACTCCTGCTAGCACCACAACCCCTTCCTCCCCACCATCCACCTCTCAACATCAGCACACTCCTATTCCTATCAACTTTCACTCCCCTTTTCCCAATGTCATTTCTCCGGTTCCTGTGAGAAAGTCTACTAGAATGTCTAACCCCCCCTCCATATTTGGCAGATTATGTGTGCAATGATGTTTACTTAACTAATCTCACCTCCACTTTTTTTGTAGCTTCTGTATCCCCATCTATTTTACCCTTCTTTGTCCTATCTCCTTCCAATCAAACTCTCCTAAAATCTGTTTCACATATTCATGAACCCTATTCTTATTCACAAGCTTGCTTATATCCTTGATGGCAATGGCACATGAATTTGAGGTTTTAGAAGCCAATCAAACATGGGAAGTTATGGAACTCCCTAGAGGGAAGTTTGCTCTACCATGCAAATGGGTTTATAAGGTTAAACACAATGCAAATGGTAGTGTGGAAATGTTTAAGGCCCGTTTGGTTATTCGGGGAGATACCCAAAGGGAGGAAATTTACTACACTGAGACCTTCTCCCTAGTGGTCAAAATGACCATTGTCAGATGTCTCTTGGCAGTAACAGTCAAGAAGGGCTGGAAATTATTTCAGTTAGATGTCAATAATGCTTTTCTTCATGAAGATTTACAGGAAGAAGTATACATGAAGATTCCTGCAGGTATGCAGGCTCCTAGTCCTCATCATGTTTGCGGATTAAAAAAGTTCCTTTATGGGCTGAAATAAGCCTCTAGGCAATGGTATGCGCTCACTGCAGCTCTTAACTTCAAGGGATATTCTCACAACCTTAATGATTATTCTCTTTTCTTTAAAAGGACAAATTGTGGAGTTTCTATTCTTGCAGTGTGCGTAGAAGATATTCTTATTACAGGGGATGACCTTACTGAGCTTGCTTTGTTGAAAGACTTTCTCAATTCAGAATTCAAGATAAAGGACTTAGGGGAGGCACATTATTTTCTTGGCATAGATCTTATTAGAGAGGAGCATGGCATCATTCTCACGCAGAGAAAATTTACCTTAGAATTCCTATATGAATTTGACTGCCTACATCAAAGGCTTGTTGCTTCTCTACTTGAGCCATCCAACAAGCTACGAGCTAATACTGGGAAACTCCTATCCGATCCCACCATTTATCAATGTTTAATTAGGTAAGCTGAATTTTTTGACTAACACTCGCCCTCACCTTTCTTTTGCTGATCAGCATCTCCGTCAGTACATGCAAGCCTCGCGCGAACCACATTATCAAGCAACTATCCATTGCCTCCGCTATTTACTTTAAAATCCTGGCCTTGGGTTGTTCTTTCGATCTGATCCGTCATTCAAATTACTTACTTTTTAAGACTCCGACTGGGGTTCTTGTCCGAAAACTCGTCGTTCTGTTAGTGGTTACTTCATAAGCCTTGGAGGCTCACCCATCTCCTGAAAATTAAAGAAACAACCTATCATTTCCCTCTCCTCTACCGAGGCAAAGTATAGGTCGATGCGACAGGTTGTTGCTGAAATTAGTTGGCTTGTTCGCCTTCTCTCTGACCTTACCATTTCTGCGGTTCTTCCAATATCTCTTCACTCGGACAGTCAAGCGGCAATCCACATTGCCAAAACCCCCATATTCCATGAACGAACAAATATATGGAGATTGACTGCCACTTTGTTTGGCAACAATTCCTTGCTGGCCTCATTTTTCTCAACTTCGTCCTTTCTACTTCTCAACTTGCCGATATCTTCACCAAATCTCTTACTGGTATTCACCATCGATAGATTTTTGGCAAGTTGGGGGTCTCTTCACACCCTTCCAACTTGTGTGTGTGTGGGGGGGGGGGGGGGGGGGAGCGTTGAGAATGGAACTCATCTCAATTTGGTTCAAATCAAAGATAAAGACAGGAAAGATCGTATCTTGGTTTCTTCGAATGAAAAGAGGAGAACTTTGGTAACAAATCAATATGGGGCTAATTCAATTAAACCTAAAGACATTTCATTCAACTTTGGGCTTTCGGAGGAGGCTTTATCTAATGAGAAAAGAAAATCCAATATTTTCTCCTTAATAGGCTGTATCAGCAGAAATCAAAAGAAAGGAGATCCTTCTAGAAGACTAGCTGACTGTATTAGATAATACATATATTTATTATCTATTTTTTTACAGAATATAATTTAGTTATTCATTAGCCAATTAGAAATAGGACAACTGTATAGGTAGTTATAGAAAAGAATATTCTCTGCATTTTCGTTTCTATATAAACAAGCATGTACAGTGTAAACATCAACAAATTTTTGGAATACAAAGAAAACTTTCTCCTAAATCTTTTAAATTCCTACATGATTTTCTAAGATTTTCTAAGATGGTTAAAATGGTAAATTTTGAACATCAAATACTTAAAGAAAAAGAAACCTGTGTTCTTAAATTGCCTATGCATGCAATGAAGAAAACAAAATAAAAAATGTGAAAACTCTCACTAGAAATTTCCATTCTCTCTCACTATCTATGTCTGAATATAGCTTTAACTGCGTGCTAAGATGCCTAGATACACACATTTCTCGTACACTTCCTAGTAATCATTACGCTATTCTATTTCTATTCTTTTTCTCTCACCCACAATCCCATACTAAGACAGGTACTGACCCTCGCCCCCACCCCCACCCCAACCCCCAAAAAAATTTGGACATCCCATACCCTCCTTTAATATCTCTCTGTCCTTCACTTTTTTTTCTCTATATATACACAAAGAGATTGAGAGAGACGGCTACAAGCTTTTCTTTACTTTTGCATTAGTTGTTCTCCTCCTTTTCTCTGTATTCAAATCAATTACCCCTTCTTGTTTTCTTGAAGTTTCATAGATCAATCTTTGTGTTTTTTTTGTTACTGAACAGCCCCCAGAAATTGGAAAAAAAAATACCATCTTTGGATATCTACACAGTTTCCTGTCTGCATATATAGAGAAAGCTGAAGCTGATTAATGTGCATGAATGGATTCTTCTAGTGCTCACCATCATCACCAGGTAAATATTAGAGAGAGATATGTAATTAAAGTAGTGTTACCTTAAACAAAATTATGGTTACTTTGCTGGGATCTTCTATTTATTTGTTTTTTTCTTCCTTCTTTTTGTGTTCATGTATTTGTGAGTCTGTTTTTTTTTTGTTTCTTCATGATTTGTTTCACTTGTTTCTTGTCTTCTCTAAAAGGACTAAAAACATAAATACTAGTAATAACCATTTTTCTTCATTTTGTAGTTGAATCTTTCAGTAAACCATAGCTTTTCTTAAGATTAGAAAAACTTTGTGCTCAACTTTGCAATTCAAGGGAAGGAATGAGAGATCAAATGCACAAGTTTTTTTAATTGTTTTTCCTTTTACTAGTTTAATTTCCTGTTGGTATGCAATCCTAAGAACAACTAATTAAGTGATAAGATTGACATGTTAAAATTAAAGAGTCTGTTTCGAAAAAGGAAAAAAAGAGAGATCTAGAGAGAGCCTGTTTCAGAAAGCAATGTACAATTTCCAAAGTTAAAGTGATATTTTTGAATATATGTAAAAGCAAGGTATCCGTGAATCCTTTGAAAACATGTTAACTTTCTTTTTTACTTAAACTATTTATATACTATCATTTCTCTAATTCTATTTAGCGATAATTACTAGTGATATTATGTAATGTGTTAAGAGGGTTACAACAACAATAACAATCCAGTCTAATCTCACCAATGGAGTCTGGAGAGGGTATAGTGTACTCAAATTGAATGTTAATCATCGCAAATTGATTGGTCTATCTCAAATTGTTAACCTCCGGTAATCCTTTTATTTTTATGTGAGCTTGAGACCGATAATGTGAGCGGGTTACAATTAAGTTCTAATCTGTCTTTTTAATTTGTGCTCTCACAGGAAATGTCATCCCAAACACTAGAAAGCATGTTAGTTTGCACAAAGCAAGAGCAAGAAAAGAAACCAAGGCCAGCTGCAGAACAAGCACAAAAATGTCCAAGATGTGACTCAACCAACACCAAATTCTGCTACTACAACAACTACAGTCTTACTCAGCCTAGATACTTTTGCAAATCTTGTAGAAGGTATTGGACCAAAGGTGGTACACTAAGAAATGTTCCAGTTGGTGGTGGCTGTAGAAAAAACAAAAGAATATCATCAAAGAGAAGCCAAGATCAGTCCTTGACTAATAGCCCTAATAATGCTATATCTATTATCACACCAACTTCTTATGATTCTTCAAGTGATTTAAGTCAAGCATTTGCTAGACTCCAAAAACAAGCAAATGGGAATTTGGGAATTGAAGAAAATGATAATATGTCAATGATGTATAATAATCATGGGAATAATATTGCCCCTTCTAGCTTTCTTGATACACTAAGGGGTGGATTTCTTGAAACCCCAAATGGATTTCAGTACCAAAATTTGTACTATGGGAATATTGGAAGTAATGAGAACAATATGGGGCAAGTACAAAATGGAGGAATAGGGGTGATCAATAATGTGAATGAGGAAATGGGAATGAATTATGATCAAGAAATGAGTGGAGGCAAAATTGTGAAACAAGAGATGTGCAATATAGCAAGAGAAGGTGAGAATAATAGAATCTTGTGGGGATTTCCATGGCAAATTAATGGAGAAGTGAACAATATGAGTGATTTTGAAGCTTCAAACAGGCAGCAAAATTGGATTAATACTGGATTTGGAGGTTCTTCTTGGCATGGACTTCTCAATAGTCCACTCATGTAGTTGTTAGAAGAAGCTCAATCTTTGCAAAGAAGAAGAAAAAAAAGGATAGAATTTCATTGTTAGAAGAGATAGTTTTAATCTTAATGTAATATCTAAGAATTTTGTATCATGAGTTTTTATTCAACTGAGTTATTAATCTCTATGTGTTTTTTTTTTGTTTCATGGGCTGTATCATTTAGGCTTGTTTGTCTAATATTGATTGACAAATTAATGAAACTTAAAATTTGTTCTCTTAGGAGTATTCTCTTTCGAAATAGTTTTTTCATTTTATATGGTACTATTCTTTAATTTGAGTATGTTCCAAAAAATAATTTCTCTATATCTAAAAATTTATTAACTTGAAACATTTCATATTACACTTGCATATTCGGATTCAGGATTTAAACTTTATAAGTTTAATTTTTAAAAAATTTAGCATTAAATTAGTTTATATTTTTGAAGTTATGGGTTCGTACGTGCTATTTTTATAATTTTAATGAATTTTTAACTATAATTTTTATTATGTTATGGGTTCAATTAAACCTATAACTAACACACTACATCCGTCCACTTAACGAAATGTTTCTATAACTAATGCGATGACATGTTTAATAACTAATACTACACATCTAGGATAATTTTGGTATGTGATGAAATTTCATATTCAATTATACAAATGAAATAACTGACATGCTTTGATCTGAAGTATGTTGGTTTGGTTAAGGAAAGTGACTGTGACAAATATAGAATCAGACATTGATGCTTCACAGTTGGATCTGTGATTAAATCTGAACACTAGCAATTGCTGGTACTATTGTACCTTGTCTGCATATGATAGATTATTAAAATGGATAGCTTCTTTTCAAGATATTCTATGATGATTGTGTCTTATTTTTAGGTAGATCCGATGATTATTTTATAATTGAAAGAATATTAAGGAGGAATAATTAATTAATAATAGGGTTGTTGGGAACTCCTCTCTTCTTTCTAAGCTTTGGAATTTCAGTGAAGTATCAGAGAGCACTATTTTCGGAATAGATTTTTCTCTCTTGCCAGACCAAATCCTACTTCAAGATTTGGGCGTGACAGGATTTATAATATTTTATGCCATATTTGTATAATTTTCCTTCTGTATGTTTGCTAGTATTTGTTAATTGGAAACTTGCTTTAGGACAACTTGCATTCATAATTTTAGAAATGGCCAAATATACCCTTATACTTTTAAAAATGATCTAAGAATATCCCGCGTTATACTATTGGGTTATCTATACTCCTGCAGTCATACTTTGGGTTCAAATATACCCCTCATTTAAACAGAGGGACACGTGTAATCATCATATTGGTCAATTCTAAATATCTTCTAATTAATTAAAAAGACCAATTAATTATACCCGAAAAATAATTTTTTTTAAAGCAATTTTTTTTTTTGTAAAAACTGAAAAAAACTGAAATTATTTTTACTAAAAACTGAAAAAAACGAAAATAATTTTTTTCACTTTTTACAAAAAAGTCTGCTTTAAAAAAAGCTGAAAAATATTTTCTAAAATAATATTTTTGTAAAAACTGAAAAAAAAAAAACTAAAAAGCAAATTTCTAAAGCAGTGTTTTTGTAAAAACTGAAAAAACAAATATTTTCTTTTTTTTTTCTAATTTTTAATTGCTTTAGAAAATTGCTTTTCAGTTTTTACAAAAATATTATTTTAGAAAATACTTTTCAATTTTTTTAAAGCAGTTTTTTGTAAAAATTGGAAAAAAAATATTTTTGTTTTTTTCAATTTTTAGTAAAAATATTTTTTTAGTTTTTTCAAGTTTTTACAAAAAAAAAATATTATTTTTTCGGGTATGGATAATGAGTCTTTTTAATTAATTAGGAGATATTTAGAATTGACCAACAGGACGATGACACGTGTCCCTCCGTTTAAATGAGGGGTATATTTGAACCTAAAGTATGACTGCAGGGGTATAGATAACCCAATAGTATAACGAACGGTATTCTTAGATAATTTTCTAAAGTAGAAGGGTATATTTGGCCCTTTGCCGTTTTTGAAATGCCAAATCTATTCTTCATTCTTAGCTTTTTCAGCAACTACCCACCCCCAACCCTTGCACCTTCAAAAAATTAAATAGATAGAATTAAAGTAAAGGAGCTTGAGGAGGAAGAAAAAGTAAGAAAATCAAACTCGAACTCGAATTTGAGGCATAAATGATTTCTTTTTACCTGCTTGATGTTTGATGAACAAAGTTATTCGATACATATGCTGATGAAAGATAGTAAACACAAGATAAAATAGTGGAAGAGTGTCCAAACAAATCTGAACACCACCTTCAGTAAAAGGGTTCAAAGTCGACATTTTTATCTGGTTAAATAAGTTATTATATCGAATTATCATTCTTGTAATTTTTTATATACGCATCAAAACTTGTGCAATTTTCCTATTCGTGAGAGGTGCATGATAACCCATGTTTTTTTAATGGCATTCATCTTCAAATTGATATTAAAAATTGCAGCCCGGCGACTAAATCCTAATTAAGCTCTAATAAATTAGATTAATTAATCAATAATGGTTTCAATCATGTCGGATTTCTGAAAACTTGACTTTCGAGTAATGTATAAGTAGACAGTCAATTTCAATCAGTCAGAACACAGATGAAAGAGGAAAAAAAAAAGAAATATATGTTAGTTATCTATCGAGTGACATTGATCACCATTTTGGATCTAATGACCCGTTTGTCCACACATTATTTTCTTCTTTTTTTGAATTTTTGTTTTCAAAAACGTGTTTGTCAAAATGAGAAAACTACAATATTTTTTTGGAATATTATACTATGAGAAAACTATAACATTTTGGAATATTCAAAATGTGTTTGGAACTTTTTTGAAAATGAGAAATTTTTCAAAAGAATTTTTTCACTCACAAAACTATAATATTTTTTCAAGTGAAATGCATGTCCGAACAAAATTTCAAATTTCAAATATTATTTTTCAACTTAACTCCAAAAATTACTTTTTTTCCGAAGATTACAATTTTTATGTCCAAACGGCTACTAAGCTTAACTAGTGAAGTGATAATTGTAGACACTGAAATTTTAGCAGATTAAGATAAATTCTAAATTCAAGACGACTCTTGAAATATTAGGAGTCTATTAGGGTTACTTGGTGACTACTCCACCCAAACCCTAATTCATGCCTATAAATAAGGCGACATATGTCCTTCAAAGAGGGTCTCAAAAATTCCATAAATTATTGAGATATTCACAAAGGGATCAAGGCATAAAATAATGTCGTGATCAATAGATATTCTTCTTGATAATTAAATACTTCAAGAAGAATATCCATACAATGATCGACTTTAATGGATCAAATAATCTAGAGAGGTCCGAATCATCCTATGTTCGAGAAATATGTCGCTAAGGCCCTCAAATTATGGAGAATAATCCAGAGGAAGAATCAAGGGAATAAACATAATTGTACCCACATCGTTTATCAATAAAATTATGTTTTTCTTTATATTTATATTGTGGTTGTAATTTGTTTTTGTATCAAAAATAATTTGTTGCAAACAATAATCATCTAGTTTGCTTTCACAATTTTTCTGGCTTGATGCAGTTCACTAAATGACTATATACTGCCAAAATTGAATCTCTCTCTCTCTCCAGTGCTTCGTCAACATATGACTTTCATTTTTCACATCTTTGTTTATACTTTATTTGATATTTGATGTTTGGTGCGACAGACGTTATTTTTTATAGAATTCTTTTTTGTGAAAAATATTTTTTTGGTGTTTGGTGAGTGAAAAATAAAAACGACTTTCATCGTATCAATTATATGTAAGCATAAAAATGATTTTTTTTTCCATCTATGTTAAAGGTCAATCTCCGCCTAAACCAGATTGAAAATTTCATTCTCGACAGTGATAAATCCTGACACTTTGACGTGCCAAGTTGGATGGATTCAATTATGTGTAGTCATTTTCTCAAAAAAAAACAGTGAAAATAACATCTCCACTTGATTTGGTCTTTGATGTGCTAAAACGACTTATAATAGTTCAATAAATTTTCTAATCTTCGACAGTTGTAATATGTTTATCGCCGAGTGGTGATGGGAATTCAAGCATCTTCGATTCTCATATGCATTGAAGGGAGACAGGATCAGTTACTTTTCACAACGAAAAAGGGGGAAATCTATAAATAACTATGACCATATTTTTAACTGTATTACCTCTTGAACTATTTTATCGTAGAATAAATTCACCCTTGAAATACCACAATCATACTACTATTGGGCTGTGAACCACACCCTTCATTAAAAAAAAAATCTTAATCTTACCCATGTTTTTCTTTTCCTTTCTCTTTTTCTCTTCTTAGATAAAACGATTCACACATAATTTATATAGTCTTCTTTGTTCTTTCGAAACGATTGGTATGCATAAAATAATTCCTAAATACTCTAACTTGGTAAAACTCTAATTTGGTGCTATTTTTGGCTTGGAGCCTTTAAATGGCTATTGTGCTAGAAGACTTTTAGACGGTGGATATCATTAGTGATTATAAGCGGCGTAAAAAAAGTGGTATTTCAAGGACTCTATTTATTCCGGCGAGAATTGTTTTCGGTGCCAAATTCTTTTGTCCAAATTTGAGTGTGTCACTACAAGAAAATCTTAAATTACATGGGAATTTTACCTGGGGATTTTTTTCGCAACATATTTCTGCAAATTTTCATGCGAAAATCTAATAATTCCTATGCTCTAGAATATTTACCTGCCAATTCAATTTCCCCAGGTAAATCCGCAAATCAATTTAGCGCCATTTAGCGCCAGAATATTACCTGGAGATTTATTTGGAAAATAATCCCCAAATATCATTTTTGTACGCAATGTTGCAAGTAACAACAAAAAATATTTTAAAAAATCATTTCCTTTGTAATTTCATAGGAACTTCCCCAGGTAATGTTACTTGCGGATTTTGTTAGAGATTATTTCTTGGAGATTTACATAGGGATTATATTACCTAGGGAATTACTTGGGAATATATTGTTGCGATTTTAACTGGGGAATTACTTGGGGATATTATTATCTAAGGAATTACTTGGGAATTTTGTTATCTTATATTAGTTGGGGATTTTTCCCTTGGGGATTTACTTGGAGAATTATTACCTAGGGATTA